AGATTAAAAATCTTCTATATTAAAATTATAATATTCTTGCTTGCATATGGGAATATCTACATTTGCATTAATATAATAAAATTTAATTAAATCAAAGCTAAAGTTTTTCTAAGAAGATTATAATATTCTTGCTTGTACATAAAAATATATAGTCTTTAAGACTAGCTTTTTCTTCTATGAGAAAGTTAACGCATCAGAAAAATGTAATCCACGAATTATATACTTGGCACACATATTTCAATTGTGTCTAACAATCTCTAATAAAGCCGCGCGTAAGTCAAGAAACTCCTAAATTCTCTATTCCCTTATAAAGACGTGCGTATGTCCTTTGAAAATCTTAGCGTATCGAGCTATCGAGTTCCTCACTAAGCGTTTAAGATTTCACTAATTAAAACAAAAGACCCTGATGACACGATCTCACTGGTTTAGAACGGAACACTCTCGACCACTCGCGATTCTGCACGTATCGTTCGTGGCAACAGTAGCAAGACCCTCGGGAGGGCCGTCCCTCTTCTTCCGGTTCCTTTCCCTCGTTCGTTCCCGCGCGGACGCTCGCTGATTTCGCGCGGACGTATTCAAGTATCACAGACGCACATCGTGTACTTACGATTCTCATCTCTCTTTCTGGGTCTCTCCCGAAACTGCGGCGAGTCGGAACGAGCACGTTCTCCGCGTTTCCCCGTGAGCCGTGCACACAGGTCGGCCGCCAACTGCAGTTGCACTCTCGTTAAGCGGCGAGTCTAGGAACACCGCGCAACGGTGGTGTGCCTGCCACCTGCCACGCGGGGGTACGTTCTCGGAGGCTCGCGGGCTCGCGGATGGTAGGGGGCTCCGGAAGAAACGCCTACTACGATGCGGATCGTCCAGAGGTAGCGGAGGCAGATTTCCTGTGTGGTAGCGGCGGCGCGGAGATTCTAGGTGATTGAAGAAGAACTCTCACAGCTGCTGCCCGTCTTGGCAGTAGAGGACCGTTTGACTCCCGGTGGGGACCGATCCTGAGACTTATATGTCGATGTTGGAGGCCATCCACGTCTCTGTCTCTCCCTGTTCCCCCCTTGTGTGCCCCCGCCCGAATCATTACCCTCCCAAGGGGCGCGAGCGATGGTCAAGGTGACCTTCGTTACCACGAGGGATAGCGCGGACAGGAAGCCGCGCGAGAGCAGCGCCTTTGCGAGAAAGGCGAACATAGTCCCCTCGTGGATCTCCAGACGATCGATTCGATATTTTATTTTTCTATTTAAATGCCGTGAGTCACGACGAGGAAGCAAGAAGGATACCTTCGAATGGCAACGAAAGTATTCCTCAACATGATCCATGAAAAATAGATACATTAAAATTGAGTAGCCGAGTAAAAGACTTTTTGTATAATGCAATTAGCAATAATGAACTTATGACAAGTCATTTGAATGACAAATCATTTTGAATGTAAATCTTGAATTGTTTCAATTCCTATTTAAAAAGAAACAATTTTTAAAGATTTTGTATGTTGTCTTGAATAATTTGAAGGTTTTAAGTGCATTAAATGTAAAAAGAATATAAATGTGTTAAAAATATATTTGTTTTACTTTATTAAATATTTTAACAAACAATATACTAAAATATAAACTCTTAAAACTAAAAAAACAAAATGAGATAAAGAAAGGGCTAATGAGAGTCAGTGCAACAATTTTATTAAAAAAGAGAATTAGTTATTTAATGAAATAATGTGGGTCAATATATATAATAATAATAACAATAGAAAGTACAATACGAATGTTATGAGCCATCTTTAGTAGAAAAACTTTATATTATTCTTTTGTTGCGCTGATTCTCATTAATCTTTTCTTTATTAATCTTTGTTTTATTTAAATATTTTACGTTATTATTTTTATTTATCCTTAATTTTAAATACAATTAAGATAAATATTCTATTTTTAAACAGTTCAAATATTTGCTTCTGAAAGATTTTTAAAATTATCAATATTCAATTTTGAGACGTTGTCAATATTTAATTTTTATATGTTAATTTAAAGGTTTGTGTGATTATATTGTTTACAAATTTTAAAAAGAAATTTGATTATATATTGTAAAATATATGCATAAAATATATTGCATATATGTAAAAAAAAGGAAAAGAAAATCAACGTGGTACATCGTGAAATAAAAACGAAGGGGGAAATAAGAATACAAATTATAATTGATCTCAGTTGAGTCATGATATTTTTTTGCGACAAAGAACTTTTCTTTCGCCGCTCAATCACAGAAACGGCAAATTATCCGGCGTAATCTTCTATGGCAAAATAATACATGCGAGTACTTAATGTATATTCCAGACGTTACGTCTCAATGCCTATCGCATCATGCTCTCGATCGGAATCCGGATCTCTATTCCGTGAGTGCGGCATTATGACGTCAACCAGTGTTGCAGAACGTTGTCGTGGCATGCAAATCTTATCTCGAAATATTAAATGCCCTTTCTTTAAAACAATCCACTAAAGACCCAAAATCTTAATGCCAAAATTCTACAAAATTATTATCTTTATTAGGACATAACAATCTTTTAACGTATCATTAATTTTCAATCTTTAAATTATGTTTATAATTATTAGAATCTTAAAATAGTCATAAAAATACTTCTTAGAAGTTATAAAACAAGCTTGAATCTTATTTGGATTAACTTGGCTGCTGAGCTAATCAAATTATTTGCCGGATCCAAATGGACGGGATGTGACTCTCTATATATATATATATATATATATATATATATATATATATAAAATTGCTTGTTAGCATTAATAGCGTTTGATCGCATAACCATTATTGTAATACCCGGTATTTAATTCCCGTATAAGTGACGCTTACGAAGATATCTCGTAACTTTCGATGTAAAAAAAATTTCCGTCGATATGACATCCGCGCGTACAATAATTGCGCTAATAAGCTGTATATCCGCGAACGTGTAATTAGAAAGGAAAAATTAATCTTATCTTTTATGTAACCCCGCCTGTAAAACCTGTTTCGCCTTGAAAAAGGAGCCATCTTTATTGGCATACTTCTGATATTACCAGCGACGACACGTGCGATTCTATATTTTTTGTTCCTAAATCGAAAAGAAAAGAAGTCCAGGTCTGAGGTTTCTCTCTCCCGAGATGCTCTCGTCTCTCAAGACCATTTGAAAGAGGCTGCACGAATGGCGGAACGATCGGCGGCAAAAGTTATCGAGAACCCGAGATCGCTAATGTGATAATTGTAGACCCGAACGAAACAACGTATACCGTACGCGAGACAGCTTTTGCGCCTTACTTCGCCGGGCAATCAACGTCAAAATTGGCCTGCGATTTAATTATCGTCGTTACGAACGCTAACTATATCTGACCCATTTATCATAGTCGCGCTGCGGCAATCGTTTCCCGGCAATTCTCTCTCTTGGTTCTTGCAATCCGTGGCTCACGTTGAGAAAGCGCCCGCCGCCACGCAGCATCAACGTGGCTCGCGCCGTGTGACCGGTCTCTTGACCTTCGTTAAAAATGGCATTCCTCACCTTAACCCGTTAATTAGCGTGCCTCCAATTAGCCGCGACATCACATGCCGCGCAAGGCAAGACGGAGCGGAATCGCCTTCCGATATATATCCGGCCGGTGTGTTGTATCCGGTCCATTGCGAGCCGAGGGAAGGTTCGGGCCTTGCACGGCTGCCTGAGCGGTGACCTCAGCCGCCTAAATTCGGTTTAATTAACGAGGTCACTCGCCCGAGAGATATTTCGCTCTCGAGCGTGTCGGCACGCGCTTCTTGCGTTTCCTCTTTTTACTTCCTCGCCCTCCTCGCCTCTCGCTGCGAACGCGAAGTACTGTGGCATCCCCGGTACTTCCGGGGGGAGATTTATGGAGATTCATCGTGCCGATTAATTCGCGAGTCAAGATTTATTTCTGTCTACCGTTTACTACGCGTGACTTTTTACATTTGTTTATGGAGGTTTGTAAAACTAATAAGGTTGGGTGAGGTAAAGTGTCGATGTGGATGCGCACTAATTCCTTTATTATGGCAGACACAATTTCGTAACTGCTGTAATAAAAGGATTATTGCGCATTCACGTCGACGTTCTGGCTCGGAATCAGCTTTGTCTTTGCAAACATTGATTGTAATCAACGAGCAGTTATTTTTGCCGTTTTGCTTATAATATTTCGCAATTACATGAAAATAGATGGCAACGAGAGACGTTCCATTATATAAACAATAATGCGTTTTATTAGCATTTGGAATTAATGTTGCAGTAAACGTTATTTGAATTGCAAGAAGATTGTTTTACAATGTTATATAATTACAAAATGTTGCAAAAAGAGAAGGAAAGAGACTCTTTTTAAAATATAACGTTGTTATATTAAAGATATGTAACGATTATTTAATTTTGTTTAGAGTTAACCTTGGATAAATTTTCGAATTCGTGATTCTGATCTGCTTCCTGACGGTCGACCAAGCGAATTAAATCGGACCGAAGAGAAAATCCCAATTAATCGATCGAGGACGTGCCAATTACCGTGAATGAAGCATTGTCGTAAAATTGTATAATCAATTACGCGAACGGTAATGATACTTATGAAAGTATAACAAGGTCATTAGTCAAGTTAAACAGAATATAGCTGGAAGAAGCGATAAAAAAAAAAAGCAAAATCCGACATTTATGCAAGATGCCATCTATGGAGGATGCTACGGCATTGAACGGTCCATTAATTTGTTTAACATCTAACGAGACTGATAAATAACATTCCGCGATCAGTATTCATGGCTTTGATGTCTAAAATAGTTTTCAGGGTAATAAGCAATAATTTTTATTACTAATCCTTTTCAGTCGCGAATGCATGAATAATTCGACGCGTCAAATGCTACTTGAACGAATGCAGAGAGTCAGAGATATTATCTGTGATCTTACTTGTAGATTGACTGATCACGCTCGACATTATTTTATGATACAATACGCGGAAGCAGAAATGTCATCAACAGTTTAACATTGTTGAAAAAAAAGGTTAATTGTTTATAATTACCATGAGAATTATCTATTGCGCTACAACATAACTAAAGTCATTTATACACTTGCATTACTTTGCATATCATTCATATGTAGACATTTTTTACATAAATTATTTTAATAATCAAAACGTGATTTTTAAATTGCCTTCAAGTTAAGTGAGAAAAACTAAATTATTCTAAATTAATTAACTAAACTTTTTTATATTCATTAAGAAATATAGAAGAGTCTTGTATCCTTAATTTAAAAATCAATAAAGGCATAATTAGAGCAGATTTATAAATGTAATGACGAAAACAATAAAATTTTAAAATAAAAGATAAATTTACGCCTATATTTTTATTTATTATTACAATTAAAATTATCTTTAACAAGATATAGCTAGATAATAATTTAGTTTCTCACTTAACTTGAAGGCAATTTAAAAATCACGTTTTGATTATTAAAATAATTTATGTAAAAAATATCCACATATATCCTTATTATTAAGACTAATATTTTTCCGATCGTTCCACGGTCGAGAAACATTTAATTTCTAACGTTTTTGCATAATCCTGTCACCAAATCTCATATTATTCGCGTTATCGCTAGTTATGCATATGCGCACAATTATAAATATTAATAAATTGCATTATTAACACAAAAGTGTACGAGTAGTCGTCGTAGTCGAGGTGACTCGGAATATTTTCAAGCGATAGATAAGTATGTCATTTGCGAAAATTATTCCTAAGAATATAATCAGCACGAAAGGATCCGTTTGAAGAGTAGATCTAATGAGTCTGTGCATCGAAGGTAACAGGCTTGACCTCATGAAAAGTGCATTCGTATTGTTAATTATCTGCCTTCGATGTTCAGCACTGTCTTATGAACAACAAACTGACAATTCACTGGACGCGTCACGCGCGTTGAACGTCCTTGAACTAATTTCGTTTTTAAACGGAAACTCGAAGAATACCCATTTCCGGCGGCGGCG